AAAGGCCCGGACAAGGTTTTTTTTTCCAAAACTTGTTTATTGGGTTTTTTTTTGTTTTTTAATTCTTTTTTTTTTTTTTTTTTTTTTAAGGATTTTGCCACAGAAAACAGAAAAAAATTTATTTCTAAACCAAACTTAAAAAGAAAAAAACTAAAGTAATAAACAGCAAATCTTTATTAGATTTTTGTTAAACTAAAATAAGTACATAAAGGTGTATGCTGGTGGTTGGAGGGATTACAGATTAAAACGGTTGCGAGTTTTAATGCACTTAAAGATCTCCCCCATATTTTGCCTGTACATCACTAAATTCTAAAAAAAAAAAATGTTCAGTTTCACTTGATTGGTGGAGCTCTATCTTCAAGCTGCTATGACTCAGGTTATCTCCTCCAATAATGAGCCTACAGCTGGCTGCTTATTGGACAAGCTGCGGTAGCTATAGCTTTTTTTTTTTTTTTTTTTGCTTAGTTTTTGTTTAGCATTTTTGCTAACTTTTAAAACATTTGTGCACTAGCTTCCCCTAAAATAATTCTTGCGAAAAAATTATAAAGCACTAATTTACTTGCTTTTTTTGTAAACTTACATTTGAATAAAGTTCAACATCTGCATTGACGTTTTGCTAACTCACTGTTAAGAATTCTTAAACACGTCATTGACACATGGTGTCAACATGGTTGAATTTAGCATTTTACTGCATTTACAATAACTTCTGCTAAATAACGCATTGGTGTAGTGCTTCAACTTTAGCAGAACTAATGTGTATGATTATTGCTTTAAGTTTAGCTTGGCTAACTTCTTAGGTATTGGTATTTTTAGGTCTACAGCATTCCTGTCTCTGATTACTGCACAATTTATTAGGCTATGGGCATGTTAAAGCATTTTTACTGTTTAATTTATTATGTTTTTTCATTTATCTTATTTCATGTCAACATCACCAAATGTATAGCAGGTTTTGGTGAGCCTGAGCTGCCTGATCCACTACGGTTGACTTTTGGCAAGAGGTGTCCTATCACCTGAATATGACCTTTCTCACTAGACCGTGCAAAACACCAGGTGGGATATGGAGAACCTCCGACATGCTTCTCACATTGTCATCTAACTAAAAAGACTTAAAATCTTTATATCTTTTTGCTACTTTGGATTTTATAGACTAAAACTGGAAGTGTATGAAGCTGGAGCTCCAGCAGCCAGACAACAGTCAACTGCTTAAGATATTCTGTTGACTACATGATAACTATAGTTGTAAAACAAATTGATCATACTTTGATTGATAGATCTTTTATAGGTTTTCTTGCCATGACAGCCAAACTTGTCTTTCTTGCTAGCACAGGTCAGTTTAGGAATATTCAGTGTAGTTAACAGGAAAAAGTCTCAAGATCTTGGTTTACACTTACTAGTTTGTCTGCCCAATCAAAACATGACAATTTATGTAATAAATTATGAAAACCTTTCACATTTTTATCATTTTGCTGGCTAATCTCTTTCAACATTTAATGGCATATCAGCTGTCATTTTTGTAAAATCATCACGAGTCACAAATAACTAGTTAATTTCACACACAAGCGACTACTAATCACTTAGCTTGCTCACACATTGTCCATGTGCATCTCTGCGTCTGTCGTCTGTGTCGCCTGAATATGTCGGCGTTTAGTCCAGCTTTCTGCTAAGAAGAATCTCCAAGATTTCAGGGAAACAAAGGTTGTACAGAGAGCGGAAACTAGATTTATATTCAGCACCAGCTCTGAATAGCAATTCTCAGCATACTGCTAATTGTTTGATGGATAGTGCGGGGCCATTTGCATTTATATCGGACCACAAAACGCCTCCCGCCTATTTAGATCCCATATTTAACTTCTGACACTATAGCAATGGTCACAACTGCCCAGCTAAGGTCTCAGGAAGTGTTTTTAACAAAGGGTGCCACTGTTTATCCTGCAGGTGGTGTCTTTAAGGGGTTGGTGTGAGGGAGGTTCTTTTGTGCAAGGAAGCAGAGATGTCTTCATTTTGCAGCGGACGCTTTTGAAGCATTGATTATTCAGGTTAAGTATGAGGTTATCCTGATTTTTAGCTCACTTTTGAGGTAGGTATGATTGGGAAGCTAATAAGTCTACATTATTTGTGCTAAAATCCCACTTATTTTGGTACGAAGAGGCTCGAATGTAGATGCTTGTACCAATGTTAGTTCCAATATATTCTTTATCCCTAATATTTTTGTTGCTGACTTTTTTTTAAATTTATATAGAAATAATAATAAAAAAAAATCACTAAATTCATAGTCATAAATTTGCAGGTACTTCTCAATAAATGAAAAATTCTTTGTTGATTTTTTTTTTCACCCCTTTCTGTAATTTAATTTAACCATAAAACTTACACATATATTGGTAAACAGAGAGATTTATTATTTTGTGCTAATTCCAAATTTAAACTGACGAAAACCCAAAGTTTGGATTCTTCATGGTGGAAACGGTCATGGGAAAGTCTGCTGTCCTTACAGTAAGGCACTCTCTCAGATTTTATTGTCTGAAAGTTTTTACTTGTATTTGAGAGAAATGCCACTTGTCAACTGTTGGCATCCAGCAGTAGAGACACACTGATTATATTTTATTTCTTGCCAAAAATTGTCCTGTGAGTAAAAACCCCAGAAATGATGGCTTGAGTTAAAAGAAAGCAGAACCCTTTAAATATTGTCCACATTTAGCTGTCCAGTGTGGCTGTTAAAAACTGCAGGTTTTTATCACAATTGCACTACAAGGGCAGAGTAGTTTATGGGCAGTTTCCTTTCTTTTGAAACTGTCAGTACTTTAGTTTCTTTGCTGCTGCAGCTGAAGTTCTGTCTTCTGTCAAGGTGTTAAACCAGATATATATATTTTTTTAACGCAGCAGGCGAGGTCCAACCCAGCATAAAAAAACAACCATGGACACCAGGTAGACTTTCTAACCTGCTGAAATTTTAACCTTAACTGTAGATTTTAAACTCTAATCGACCTGCTCTAAGCTTGTAGCTTGGAGGAGACGTTAAAGGAAATTTCCCCAAGGATTGAAGGCTCTCAGTTTTTATAATGTTTAAATGAGCAGTCCCTTCCTGCGAATATGCATTTCAGCAGCACCGCTGTAACTGATTGATTTCACTCTGGTTCTTCCTGCAACACTTTTTATTTGTTGGACCACATCCCTCCTCTGCAGAGCTCACAGCTGCAACACATTTCCTTTTTACATCCTCAGACAAACCATAATCTACCCTGGTGCAGATAATGAAATTGAAAAAGGTGGAGTCTGCAATTGCTTTAAGGAGAAAAACAGACCATCCATCATTTCTTTTGTCTTTCAAGAGAGACCTCAGTTGATTTTGGATCATGGCAGAGATACTCGGCTGGTTTCTGGCGCAGCTTAAGCTCTGCAGCTCAGGCTTTAGAGGAACTTCTACTTTGAAATAAAAGCACGATTCTTATCTTCATTTTTCAGAGATTTCAATCAGTGGCGCTTTGTTTTTTTTTCCACTGGTGTTCGCTAATAACTTTTCTAAGTCTTTGTGAATGCTCTCTTACTAACCTTTTTTCATTACTTCAAGGCACTTCTCACAGTCTGCCAACTCTTATCTGGAAACGATAACATTTCTTTTGAATTTGTCCGCATATAATTTATCACCTGTCTCATTATAAGAACTTTTTTTTTTTTTTTTTTTTGGTTCATTAAAATAATTCAGCAGTTTTGAACACAGCAGCATTGTGAGAAGTTGCAAGCAGCTCCTCAAGATGCACGAGTCCTGAACTGGAGGATATTTGCATCTCATATCATCAGTCATTGTGAGCAGTTTGCTGAAGCCCTTGCTGGGTTTCCCATGGTCTCAAAAGTACATCTCATTGCATAGGAGCTGATTAATAATGAGGTGGAAGGTCTCTGCAGAATTTTAGCCAAAGCACTTAGCGTGGCCCTTTGGAAACAAAAACAATGCACTTTTACAAAGCATTCTCAAAAACTTTGGGAAGCTGCTTGTTTTCCGCCCTCTTGCATTTGCATCAAGGATCTCGAGTTAAATTTGAAAAAATTAGCAGCTCCGACATTTGAAATCTTAGGAGCAGCTGAAGTGCTCTTGTGGCAGCACAACCCCCAAACACACACCCTGACCTTCCCACCAGCCCCTCGCTCTTCATGTGGCCTCGAATCATTAATCACCAGGATCTTTTCAGCTGTCAATACATACAAGAAGAGACCCCCAAAGACAACAATGATGTCTCAAATGAAACCCTTTTCTTTTGTTTTTCAGAACGGGAGCAAATACAGTTCACTGAGGATTACTGTTACTGCTCTGTCCGGCACAAACCTCATACTGTATTCATAAAGAGCTTATCTGGTGGAGAAATCCTTGTCTGAACAGCGCAGCATATAATGAGTAAAAAAAGTCTCCGATCCGACTGGATTAGTTTTGATCTCTTGTTGAAAATAGTTGTGTGTCCTAGAATGAGTTGTAATTCATTTTCGCTTAAAGGGGCTGGGTGATGTCGAAGCAGAAGTGTAAACTAAAATATTTATGGGAATTTAGCCATGAAGCTGCATTTGAAAAAGTAATGAGTAGATCTATTAAACTACAGTAATAATGTTTTACAAATTCATACATCTAGACTTTATTTTGTAAATGGACACAATTTCTAGAATATGATTTTTTTTTTATTTTTTATTTTTTTTTGGAGGTAGGAGTGCACCGATTACCGATTACTATTTTTCTGGCCAATCGCTGGTCTTTAAAAAGACAGACCTGCTAATTTCATTTTTGGCTGACACAGATTTTATTTTATTTTTTTTTTTTTTTGAAAAGTCGCTGAATATTGTGGCAAAGTTGCTAAGTGTCCAACAGTGGGGTGACTATTGTTAAGTGAGAGCAGATGTGACCTGGTGGGCAGGTCTGTCAGGCAGCGCTCTAACGGCAGAGCAGAAGGGGACCGTGGCTGATTTTCAGACGGATAAGAAAGGTGGAAGAGATCAGTTTCTCATTTAAGCATCAGCTGATCACAGAATTCCCAAAATTAAATGGGAAGTATTATGTAAAATAAACTTTTTTTTAATATCATGTTATAATGTTATTCCATCATCAAAAACATACCTGGACTGTTGCTTTTAGCATTTCATTCATTTTTGAGGAATCCTTTAATCTCTGGCAGCCATAAACATTTGTTCTCACCAGCAAAACTTCTACCTTACACAACCCTTGGCCCCCCCATGTGCCTTCTCCCCTCAACTCCTGCAGACTAGCAGCAGTAGCAATTAGCAAACCCCTGGTGGAACTGCGGGTTTGCTGAGCTTATAATACAAACTATATTTCAGTCCAACTCTCCTCAGAACAGTTGTAAACGGCATGGAGGAGCATTGTTGTGATGCAGTACTGAAGGGAAAGTATCACAGAGAGTAGGTGATTCTTAAAGAGACAGAGAATAAATTCTGAGGAAGTCAGATTTCTTTTAAGTTACATTTGATGTGTACAATATGTTTTAACAACTGAAGGTAACATAGTTACTTGATTGGTCTCTAAAAAGGCACTATGTTTCTGGAAAATACATAATGCCGCCCCCTTAAGGATTTATCAGTACCCGATTTATCAATGTCTTCAAAAAATAAACATTTTTATTTTTTTTAATACAAATTTGAACCACATTTTGTAGATTTTAACCCTTTATTGTTAAAATAAAGGGTTGTGGTTGATATGACAAAAGCTTTGCAGTTAGCTGTACTTAAGCTTTAAATAAACAGCCTCCAAACTTTTAATACAGTTTACCCACACATTGACATTTGTTAATCCAACTTAATATCCTAAAGCACTTGGTCACTTTAAATGAGACGATTCCACGGCCCCCATCACTAAACTACTGTACAATTATGCATCGATTCATCCTATGTTTCACTGACACTGCATTTTTTTCTTTTTTCTTTTTTTTTCCGATATTCACTTCAGTATTTTGTCCTTGAAGGCAAGTGGGGGGGGGGGAAAATGGTGCATGGCTGAATGCTAAAATTTCCTCCCTCTCCTATTGATCTTATCCTGGGTGTGCTGTTTGGCAGTTGAGGCTTTACGATGCAGATTTTAATCACCTCTGCTGGTTCACAGTGGCCCCTGGATGTGTCTGGCACCGCAGCTCTCGGGCTCGGGATGATTTGTGGCGTGTAAACAACACAATTCAAGGCAGGACACCTGCCACTTTTTCCACACGCCGGACACCCAGCATTTTCTGTGCGACATATGAACTGCAATATTTGTGGGAGACTCGTGTCATGAAGTTTATAGGTACATGATTTGTTGTGTCGTATTTTATTAGTGGAAAGGCGGGTGCAGTGGACTGAGCCATTCTAAAACCTCCAGCTGGGAACATGTATGTTTGTTAAACAGTTTGTGTTTCGGAAGTGACTCATCCAAGTGGTACTCTAAGTGGCGTTTGGTTGTGTTTAAGTAAAAGGGTTTTTCTTTTAGTTTCTGTAAACATGATTTTAGATGTTTGCTTCCGAGACATGAACATGTGATATTTTTTAACGATACAAATCCCTTTTTGCTGCTTTCGCAGTTGCAGGTCTTTTGGGTATTTCTCAAGCCAAGTCAGATTGGATTGTCTGTTAACATCAGTCTTGAAGTTGAACCACAGTCAGTTGGATTTAGGTCTGGACTTTAACTTTTAATCATTGCTTTGCAGTCCTAGCTGTTCATTTGACTTGTAGGAAGGTGAAATGTTCTTACAATCTCTACTCACAGGTTTGATTTTCTTGTAGGATTAACCTGCCTTTAGCTCCATCCACCTTCCTCTAAAATCTTACCAGTCTGTTCTGAAGAAACATCCCCCAGCACGATTCTCTTCACTCCATGTTTACGGCTGGTGTGATGTACAGAGTAAACTTTGCACTACGTATTGCCAATCTTCAAATTATGATTTGCTGAAATCTGTTTTTTAATTTGCATGGAACGACGTAGATGTCACACAGCGGCGGAATATTTATTGTCACATGATTATAAAAAGACAAACAAAGATAACAAACAGAAGCACAAATAATAGCGATGGCCTTCTATGGGGTATTACCACGTCTGGCTTCTTCTGGTACAGAATTATGACGCATGTCTCACATCAACTACGTAAAAGTCGAATAAAATGCGACATGCCTGTTCAGACTGCATACACTTTGAAAACCATCTGCTATGAATCTGATTTAGCATCTCACGTGGAAGTGGCACAGATTAGATTTTTGGGTGGTGAAAAGATCAGAATTGGTCCATTCAGATAGCCAGGAAAAAGTCTCATATGGGCAAAAATGTATATCATTTGCATCACATTTACCTGCTATGTGAACGTAGCCATAGTGTTTTGCACATGACACCAAAAAGTAGCATTTTGGGTTTTATTGTACTAAAGAACCTCCTTTTGCGTATTTGTCTCCCCTTCACTCCTACTGCCAAACTTCAATGAAGCGTTTTATGAATTTCTTCCAACGAAATCCAGATTTGTAAAATGTGGAACTAGTAGTTGTTCTCATTCCCTGGTCTGTCTGCAGGTGGACAACCATACACAGAAGTTTTAGTTTTTTCAATATGTAGGGGTGTGAGTACACTACCTACTTGATTCTTCCATACATTGAATATACGTTTATTTTTAAAAATTTGTTGTATTTTTCTTTTCCAGAATCGCTCAAACTGAACCGGAGTTACGACCCACATTTTCATCTGAAAGTAGAGAGGAGGCAGCCATGGAGGTGAAAGAACGCAGACCCTATCGCTCGCTCACGACCCGGCAGGACACCGAGCGCCGTTACACCAGCTCCTCTGCAGACAGCGAAGATGGTAAACCCAACTCTAAATCCTACAGCTCCAGCGAAACACTCAAAGCCTTCGACCACGACTCGAGGATGGCGTACGGCAGCCGTGTGAAGGAAATGGTTCACCATGAAGTGGATGAATTCAGCCGGCAAGGTTAGAGCAAAATCACAAATCCACTAGTCTGTAACAAGTCATTTAATTATTTTTTTTAATCAATAAGCTAATAATTGCAAACATATACAATTTTTTAAAACTCAAAGGAAAGGAGGTACACAGAACATTTAAACCTTCATTATTAGACAAGTATAGCCTATAAATGTAATTTGTTTTCTTCTTTTTGAAGTTAGTGGGTGAGGCATTAAGGTGTGCTCTGTAGTCTGGTGTTTCTTTGACTTTTGCTTCCCCATGTTAGTTTTAAAGTCGCCTTGGTTGTAACTGTAATTGTCGTCAGTGAGATTTAAAAATTATCTTTCTAAATCCATGAATGGGAGATGACTTCATATATGGGATGTAGTTTGCAAAGTTACACAATATTTTTATTATTTTTTTAGCTTATTTAGTAGTTATTTATTTTTGTCATATAGTTCAAAACTAAATATTTATTTTCCAAACTAAATATTTAGCAAGCAAACTGTGTATTTAAACAAATTTTAAACGAAATATTTATTTTGGAGCTGCATATTTATCTTGTGAATTAAATATTTAATTCCAAAATAACAATTTTTTTTTAATCAGACATTTAAAAAAAAATATCCTAGTGAAAATATGACTTTGAAAAATTAACACGCTTTTTTTTTTTTTTTTCTTTCTGACTGGCAAAACAAAACCAATGTTTTCGTGTGTACAACCGCCAACCCATATCCGTAAGGGGCAGCACTTATTATAATTAAACTATTTAATAAGGCGTTTAAATGCTAAATATGTACGGTATACTTAACTCCTTCAACACTGAATAAAATTGTTATATATTAGCTTTCTTACCTTTCAGTCGAGATACATTTGCTGATTTTTCTTTGCAGTTCAAATGTTTATCATCTTACTGTAGGGGCCGACTTTTCCCTGCGAGACCTCGGCTTTGGAGATGGCCTTCCATCGCATGTGGCGACGTACAGGAGCGACATGGGGCTGCCTCACCGTGACTACTCGGTCAGCGTGGGCTCTGACGCAGACACGGAGACGGACGGCATCATGTCCCCGGAACACGCGGTCAGGCTGTGGGGCCGCAGCAACACCAAGTCGGGCCGCAGCTCGTGTCTCTCCAGCAGGGCCAACTCCAACCTAACACTCACCGACACTGAACACGAGAACACAGAAAACGGTAGGAACCTGACCTTTTTTTTTTTTTTTTTTTCCCTCAACTTCATCAAAACACGTGCCGTTCTTAGACTACAGTGTTATCATACTGGTTTAACTGAATATGAACTTCAACTCTTCACTTTTTACCCTTCTTATATTTTTCTATCTTTAAATTGCTAAGAAAACTTAGCTGCTTTTAAAATACAGAGAAATGACCACCTAAACAGATAATAATGCAGCTGAGTTGTTTTCTGACCTCTTGCTCTTTTTGTCTTATAGATAAACAGCATTTTAATGAAAAGTTATCAAATGACAGCATTTTGAAACTAGAGGCAGAGCGAAAAAGAAAAAAGAAAAAAACACACTTTTTCATCAAACATGAATCTATGTTATGAGTCATACTTTGGAGTATATTGTTATATAACTATCCCAGTAGAGCTATTATGTTCAGAAGTAATGCTGCAAAAAAACACCTGACAGAAAGGAATTTATCCAACTTCAATAAATCCATGATCAGCCTTGTACATGAGACAGAAAGTGAGCGCAGGGCTATATCTCATCAGTCCTGGATGATTGTGACATTTTTCTGCACATTAATATGTTTCAGTCAATATTCCATTGTTGACTTTGGCAGAAAAACTGCCTGGCAGTTTGCAGTTTGTGACTTTAAGGAGAATTTGGGAAGTATTTTTGTGCCTTGGTATGAAAGGTAAGACTGGTTTTCAGTGGTGGGCACCAGTTAGCTGCGCTAAGCTTACAGCACTATTCATAAACATTAGTTCTGCTAATGCTAGAGCGATATACTAACATATACTAACATGGTGTTTAGTGGAAGCTAACGCATTAAATTCAACTATATTGAAACACACCAAGCGTCAGTGGCGTGTTATATCGCCAGGTCAAATGTATTATTGCACATCTATCTGCTCTGTTGCACTTCAGGAGCTTCAGAAAGTAATTCTTTAAAACAAACCTTTGAATTTTACATTTGTTGAGGATTGCTAACTCTGTTGCTGCCTGATTGAGCACGGTAGGGGTGCGGTCAGAAAACGAGCAGAACATCAGTCGATTTTAAACTGTTCTAAAATTATAAGTTCTGGGTACAGGAAAAAAAAAAAAAAAAAAAGCATTTGCTGCGCCGAATCATGAGTAGAGAACATACAGAGAGGACGCAAAACTGCTACGTAAACAGTCTTCAGCCACTTCAAAATGAAAGCACAAATATAAACATATAACTGCTTGCTGAATGCTTAACAACATGACAAAAACCATAACACAGATGTTGAACTATATTCAACTGAAAGAAAACAGCCAAGTAAATTAGTGCTTTAGAATTTATCCCCAAAAAATTGAAGGGGAAGCGTTAAATGTTTTCAAAGTTGGATATAGTGCTAATGAAACGTTCACTCTGCTGTTATCATATTGGTGGATTAGTGCAAGTGTGCCCACCACTGGCTTTTAACCAGAGGATCAATAATATTCCTGCATTGTTGTTCAGTTTTTTATAGCTTCAATAAATAATATTATCATTTTATTGTTTCTCATTTATTCTTGTTGGTAAATAAGATAATCTTGGTGTATATTCAGTACAGTGTGCAGGCTGTACACTTTGCTTATAACATTATGTTGTCCTCCTTAGTGTAACATTCTCCACATTTGCTTACTTCTGTCTCAGTTCGACTGGATTATCTCATTTTTCTGGTATACTAGATCTGTTTCATAAGATGCAGCGTTAAGCATTAACCTAAATCATGCATATTATATGGCAGATTTATGAAATTGTTCCCGGGGTACTTCACAGACAGAGGAGCTCATCAAGGCTCTGGCGGCAAAAAATTGTAATTACTTTGCACATCCTTGCAGAGAACTCTGCGAATCGTTTGCATTTCAGCGTGCGTCACGTTATGTATTAGCTTCTTATTATAACTGACAGAAATGACTCTTGGAAGTGGAATCCATTTGGTCAGATGACTCCGGTAGAGAGCACGGCATCCCTCCGCTTGATCATCTGGGGCACCAGGGGACTTGAGCTTGGCTGTATTGTGCATAATTAAAGAGACTCTCCTTGGATGGCTGTTCAGGGCGTCGGTAGGCTGGAATGTTTTCAGGGCCCCGTAGCTGCAGCATCATGCGTGTGCGAGACCCAATCAAGATTCTAAGTAGCCTTTTATTCCACTCACCCAAGCAGAAAGAGCACTTGTATTCAGCATTTAATTCAGTAATGCCAGATAACATACAATTTATATATGGCAAGTTAATTAAAATCCATCGAGCAGGCCTTCCTGTGTGTGCTTTAATCTCTTTAAATCAACAAACCATTTAGTGTGCTTTAATGTATTCAAGCCGCTGGGCTGTTCCCCCCCTCTTCACATGTGACTTTCTTGACCCTGGTTTAATGCATGCAAATAAGCAATAGCAATTTCAGAACAATTTTCTTGATGCTTTGATTCCAGGCCGTCAGTTCTGTTTTGTGAACAAAATGCCTTCCTTGTTATGATGGATTTTACAACGATTACTCTGCAGTTGGTGTGTGATAATGATAAAAACCTTATCCTCATTGGAACTCACTGAATGTGTAGTGTAAACATCAGTTAAGCAAATGCAGGAAGTAAGTTAGACTGTTAGCATTTCCCTGATAAGTTTGAAAATGAATGAATCCCACAGTGATGGTTCATTTCTTTGTGCAGTAAACTGATTTATCCTAACAACTGGCAGGTGAATTGCAAAAAAAAAAAAAAAACTTGTTACAATGTGATGTTCCCTAAACATTTGCATATTGGAATTTTATATTTTGATTTCTTTTCCTAGCAAAGAGTACACCACATTGGAAAACTGCCTATAAAATATGGGAAACTAAAAGCATCTCTTGGAGATGCCAAAAACACTCAAACGCCACACCCTTTTGGTTCTGTACTGGTATATTGTTAGCTCCAGCTAATGATAATGCTAATGTTTATTAGCTACCATTAGGGATGTTAGCTTCAACTAATGGTGTTAGCTCCTGCTATGGTATTAGCTCCTGCTAATGGTGTTAGCTCCCACAGATGGCGTCAGCTCCTGCTAGTGGTGTTAGCTCTAGCTAATATAGTAAGCCGATCATGCTTATTTGTTTCAACCGATATCTTGTTTATAATGTCACATACAAACTTTAAGGCAGTTTGCCTGATTCCAGATGTTTTGTGGGCAGACATGAAGGTCATCTGCCTCCACGACTTTGTTGTCTTGTCTATTGTTTAGACTCAAGTCCACTTATTCAAATGCATCGGTCCGGCATGAATTGCACAGGTAAAAAAACGGCGACTTCTGTAGGTGAAAGATATACAGTTTTTGAAGTAATTATGAGTTTTTATGTATCACACATAACTTTTAGGTTAAAAAGAAAGTATACATCATATTTAGACCAACATGTTCAATTTATCATGGTCCCCTTTAAAGCTGCAGAGTCGAGCTCAGGTTAAAAAACGTCCACAAATCTTTTACAATTAAAGAATCTTTGGCAGCCTAAAATCTCATATGGTGAAACCAACTCCGGTTCACTAAATTTAGAACCCCCGGATGATTTTTGTGCACACACTCTCTTCCCCAAACTACGATGGCTGTGTTGGACACCTAAGTGAATGTCGATATAATGTGCATGTTCCGTAATGCGAGTTAGAAAGCCTTAAAATTGCATCCATTGAGCTTGTACAGCGATGTACATGTTCATCGTCCCCATGCTGCTCCTGTTCCCTAGGGAGTCCCTCAAAGACACTTAAGGCAGCCTGCCACTGCTGACTCACTCCACGTTTCACTGAGGCTCAGCGGCACAAAGAAAAGGCAGTCTGCTGTGTTTAGAGGAGGTTTTGCTTTTCTTGGTTTATTCCCAGTAACGGCTTAACCAGATGTGTGTTCTAATCCCAACCCCCCCCCCCCCCCCCACCACTGTGGCTTGGCTATTATATTTCTGTAACTACGAGAACCAGAACAGACGATAACCACAAGGCCCGTTCAGGGAGTGTTATTCATGTGTCCCATAACCTGTGGAGAGAAAATAATGCTGCTAAAGCCTACACAGTTCTTTCTAAGAGAAAAAAACATTGGTGGGACTGGCGCTGGTGTTTTTCTATGGTAAAAATGTAATTAGTTCCAGTGGGTGGTTAGTTGTGTATTTATTTTGCTTTCTCTTACTCTATCCTCCAGGGAGTTTCATTCTTTATTGATTGAGGAGATGTATTTATAAATGTATGCAAAGCCAAGTTCTGATTTTATTCTGGAGTGCAATTGAGTGATGCCCCCTTTTCTTTTAGCTTAGAGTCTGAAGTGCAAATGTTGCATGTAACAGTTTTGTTTTGTTTTTTGTTTTTTTCGTATGCTTTGTTAGACGCAGACAGAGAAGGTGTTTATTTCTTGTTCACAATCTCTTCTCCTGATTGGGATTTGGAACGAAGTGCTACAGAAAAAAAAACAAACATCTTGTTATCTTTTCTCACATTATTCAATTAAATTTTCTCAAAGCAATTGTGGTTGTGTATCCGTTTAATCTAAATGATCAAAAAGATGTTTGATTTAAAAGCACCTGTTTGGATCTTAAAGGAGCTTCCTTGAGTATGATGAACAAAATAATCGAAAGTTTGACTGACTTGGTTACACGCTGTGATAGAAAAGCTGCTAGTGATACAAAATTAGCAGCCCCGATGGCAGACATGAGTCTTACAACTGTCACAACAGATTGCGTAAGCGATTGCTTTTTTTTTTACTGCCTAAGCTTTTCATGCTCCAAGACTGTTAAGCCTGATTCCTCAGAGGCATTTTGACGAACTCTCTAGCTGTTGGTGTGTGTTCCTTATCCCAAACCCAGTTACATACCAAGTTTCGGGATACATTTATATAAGAAATGCGTCAGATTTCTTTTTTTATTCAGAGAAACAGGATGATATTGATTGAAATATGAAAATCACTTACTAATTATATTAAGTTGAGCTTATTTACACAGTCCTAATTGGATAAAAAAAATGCAACCTCAAGGCACTTCGGAAGAAAAAG